AAGAAAAGGCTGGTGGTTTGAAGCCACCAGCTGCTCCAAGGGAGAAAGACGACTTGGTCTTTTTCTGGACAGATTTACAGCCTCTGAACCGCTGAGGGGCAGTTGTACTCTATCCTACAGATAGAGATGCTCTGGATGAGAGTCAACTGGACAGCGGTGGGTTTTGTTTCCTGGTGTCTATCTATGTAGAAGTTAAAGGAACACAATTTTTTACCTGGCAAATTGAGTATATATCTCTTGTTCCTGGTCCCAGAGAGAAGAGTCCTCTATCTTTATGTACATGTACCTATCGTCAGAAGCAGGTCCCTCAGGAAGCCCATCACAGGCTGGGGCATCAAGAGGACTGCTGGTTTCTCCCACTTGGCTCTTCAGTAATATTACAACTCCTTTAACAGGAGAACCTGTTTCCTGTGAATACACAATAGGATCAAGTTTCAAAATTAAAAACAGATAATGCTCTTGGGTAACACGTTGAGCTACAAACCACCAGGTCATCAGTTTGAAACCACCAGCCGCTCTGTTGGAGAAAGATGAGGCTGTAAAGAGTTACCATCTTGGAAATGCACAGGGGAAGTTCTAACCAGTCCTGTAGTGTTGCTATATCAGAATTGAATCAATGGCAATGAGTGAGAGGATATACTGCGCTTTAGAATTATGGAAGAAGGCCTGAAATTACAAACTTGTGAATGACCATCCCTCTGATAATCAGTGCCAAAGTCCAAGTGCACAATTTCACATCAAAATATGATTTCTTCCCTATTCAACATCTTAATGGAAATCTCAGCCCACGCAATAAGGCAAGAAAAAGAAGTAAAAGGCATACAATTTGCAGTCAACTTGATTCCTGTGTGTTCTACCTCATTGAGAGTCTTCTCATCCACTGACCCTGCACTTTACCCTGTTCCCTAAAATATGGTAGATGGTTTCAGTGAAGAATTCTACCAAGCACTTAAGAAGAATTAAAGCAATTCTACACAATCTCTTCAAGAACATAGGCAGGAGGAAACATTTCTCAACCCCTATGGGTCAGCATTTTCCTGATCCTAAAACCAAACAAAGACATTACCAGGAAAGAAACTACAGATTGATATACCCCATGAATATAAATTAAAAATTGCTTAACAATATTTTAATAGTCAATCCATGGGTAATCAAGAATGCCTGAATTTGAAGCTTTTCCCTAGCTATTATTTTTAGTGTGTTTAATTATTGATTGATTTTAAGGTTTAACTTACAAAGGACAATCTCCTTTCTTTTATTTTCATGGCAGATACCCATCTCTGGGTATCATGAGAATAAATATTATTCTTCTCATTCTGAAACAAACGAATCTTAAATTGAGACAGGTTAGGTAACTTATCAAAGTGCAGACAGCAACTACTACTGAATTCTAAAACCCAAATCCTTTGTACTATACCATGCTGCCTCACTTATGATGGATAGGTTACACTTTTTTTTTTTTGCTTAAGTCACATGACAATTCTTCATGAGTTGATTAGCTACTTATTCTCTCTATATTAAAGATTAGAAAAATTAGCTACAGAAAGCTTACAAACTCTTTACTCAGGTTGTTATGTGCGATTTAAGCTGGATTTTGAAAGACCGATGACTTTTAATTGCAAATAATCTTTTTTTTAAATAAAAGATTATTCTCTTTCTTTTTAAGTAAGAGTTTATTCTCACAAACAATATTTATTCAACAACATAAACAGTGATTGTGTATGTGTGAACCTTGCCAACTTGGAATCAAATTCACAGGAATCAAATTGACTACATCTGTGGGAAGAGACTATGGAGAAGCTCAATAATCAGCAGCTAAAACCAGGCCAGGGACTGACTGTGGAACAGACCATCAATTGCTCATATGTAAGTTCAGATTGAAGGTGAAGAAAATTAAAACAAGCTCATAAGAGCCAAAATCTGACCTTGAGTCTATCCCAACTGAACTGAGAGGCCATCTCAGAAACAGATTTAAAGCATTGGACACTGATGACAAAAGACCAAACAGGTTGTGAGACTCCATCAAGGGCATCATGCACGAAAAAGTACAAGGTCATTGAAGACAAGGAAGAAAGAAAAGATCAAAGTCTATGTCAGAAGAGACTCTCAAATGAAATGTACAAAGGCCTGGAGTTAGAAAGCTGAAAAGTAAAAAAATGCTTGGCATATCTCAAGCTAAAAGAACTGAGGAAGAAATCCAAGTCTTGAGTTAAAATATTGAAGTATTCTATATAGCAAAATATTGAACAATACAAGAAGTA